TAAAGGAGCAAAAATCTCATCAGCAAGTGGTATTTATTATACCAAATGTACAAGTTTCTTCAAGACGTTGAAACGTGGAGCTAAAGATAGACTTGTTCGGCTATCATCTATTCGGAAATCGCCAGGCATATTCACTACGGACAGAATTTTAGCATTACCATTGCAAAAACCGCATACAAACACGATATCGGCATATCCACCATTAGTATAAATGGAAGGCATAATGATGAGTACTCTGCGACAGCCTCTAACAAACTGATAAATGTTATCGAGAGTTCCCAAAGCTAACTCCAAATAGTATTAATCAATATGTTGCTAATAGCTTTTATACAGTTAGGGATAAAAGGCCATATTAGTATTCTATCTAATCCATCTGCTGAACAAAGCGTTTGTGGACATACCTTCCCTTTGAAAAAGATTTAATATAAATGTTGATGTTTACATTTAATTAATAAATAGGTTTTATTCATTTCATATAACGTAAATAATTCATAACAACTAAAATCTTTAAGAGTGAATATTTCCTAAATAAAGCGTTTGCGGACATACCTTCAGAGGAAATTTTTTTCTTGTTTTGAGGTCCTTAGTTCATATTATCAGTTTTGCCACGTAACCCTGAAACACCGTGTATACATATTTTTTTATTGTATTTAATTTTTCTTTAGTAGAATATGATGAAATTGATATAAGACCGTCTATGTACCAACCCACAAGATCTTGGATTTTACTAAATTTGCATTAAATGTAGCTTACTTTATATAGGTGTAAATGTGTTTTATTTCTATCTATTATTTCATTTTTCTTTTGTACGTATGTATGTTAATTTTCTTATTTTATTTTCTACAATTCTTTTTCTTTATTATATCTATTTTAGTCATCATTTGTATGAACATATTGCGCGAATGTTTAACGTAGCTTTGATATTAATGGCCTCCAATGTGGCAGAATGTATTAATTTCCAACTAATAAAAAAATTTAGGGGAGCCAATATTCCATAACTTTGAGCTATTCAAATTTATTTCCTATTTACTAAATTATTTAATAAAAAATGTAAATAGTATTCTTTACGTCCGGAGCACAGGATTTGATACAGAAAGTTGAAGTATTTAAGTTTGAAATAATTTAAGTAGTGTGAATTGTTGTCGGAAAAAAAAAATAGATGAGTGATCTTTGGTGAAGCCCTCTGAAATGATTTTTCCTTTCAAATTTCTCTAATTCATTAATTTTTCTTTAGTAGAATATGATGAAATTGATATAAGACCGTCTATGTACCAACTCACAAGACCTTGGATTTTACTAAATCTGCATTAAATGTAGCTTACTGTATATAGGTGTAAATCTGTTTTATTTCTATCTATTATTTCATTTTTTTTTTGTACGTATGTATTGTAATTTTCTTATTTTAATTTCTACAATTCTTTTTCTTTATTATATCTATTTTATTTATCATTTGTATGTACATATTGCGCTAATGTTTAATGCAGCTTTGATATTAATGGCCTCCAATGTGGCAGAATGTATTAATTTCCAACTAATAAAAAAAAAAAAAGAAAAGAAAGATGACCGATGATATACCCTTTACTTGGACTTGACTAAAGAAAGACATAGACGGACAAAATTTTTATCTCAATTTACAGATATACTAAAAATTGAGAATTTTTGATTTTGGACAAACATTTTTTTTTAACTTCCTCACGAATACAAAACTTCCTTTGGTAGAGAATAAGCAAAAATATTAGATTTCTGATTCAACTCATGACTGTTTTTCTAGTATAAAGAGATAAAGCTTACTTCTATACACTGGAGGTAACCACAAAAGGTGCATATATAACCATTTTTGTACTTGTTTAGGGAAGCCAATATTTCATAACTTTGAGGTATTCAAATTTATTTCTTATTTATTAAATTATTTAATAAGAAAATGTACATAGTGTTCTTTACCTTCGGAGCACAGGATTTGATACCAAGAGTTAAAGTATTTTAGTTTGAAATAATTTTAGTAGTGTGAATTGTTGTGGGAAAAAAAAATAGATGAGTGATCTTCGGTGAAGCCCTCTGAAATGATTTTTCCTTTCAAATTTCTCTAATTCATCGCTTCATTTATAGTAATCGCTATAACATACAAAATAAAAGTTGAAACTTCCGATGAAATGATAATTTTTAATTTCGATGAAATGATAGACTATATTAAAAAAAAAAAACTCAAATGAAGGAATGTATATTTATACTACATACATGCAGTAATCAGAACAAAGCACACATACTTTTTTACCCTGCATACATACTTTTTTATTGTATATCATTTTAAGTATTGTATTGTGTTTAATTTTTCTTTAGTAGAATATGATTTCTTTGATAGAATATGATGACCGTCTAGGTAACAACCCACAAGATCTCGGATTTTACTAAATTCGCATTAAACGTGACCGATGACATACCCGTTACTTGGAATTCACTACAGAAAGACATGGACAAAATTTTTTATCTTAATTTACAGAAAGTAAAACGACAGTGAGAATTTTAGATTTTGGACAAAAAATTTTTTTAACTTACACACGAATACAAAACTTCCTTTTGTAGAGATGCAAAAATATTAGATTTATGATTCTACTCATGACTGTTTTCTAGTATAAAGAGATAATGCTTAATTCCATATCCCGGAGGTAACCACCAATACATGTGCATATATATATATATATATATATAATATATATATATATATATATATATATATATATTTTGTATTTGTTTAGGAAAGCCAAAGTTCCATAACTTTGAGCTATTCAAATTTATTTCTTATTTACTAAATAATTTAATAAAAAAATGTACACAGTGTTCTTTACATCCGGAGCACAGGATTTGATACCAAAAGTTGAAGTATTTAAGTTTGAAATAATTTTATTAGGGTGAATTGTTGTCGGTAAAAAAAATAAATAAATGAGTGATCCTTGGAGAAACCCCCTGAAATGATTTTTCCTTCCAAGTTTCTCCAGTTCATCGCTACATTTAGAGTAATCGCTATAACATACAAAATAAAAGTTGAAACTTTCGATGAAATGATAGACAATAATAAAAAATAAAAAAACCTCACAAATGAAGGAATGTTTATTTATACATACACGCAGTAATCAGAACAAAGCACACGGGATAATTTGTATTCATTTGGTAACACAGCGACTTATCTACCTCCTCTCCCCTCTCCCCGCCATCCCGAGCAATAAATCGCCTAATTGTAACCCAACAGGATAAGTTATTTCCAGAAGTCCCGCTCACTCCAGAACAGCTTCCAGTTGTTGGGATAAGGATCTTAAGTGGACAGAAGGAGGCAGACATATTTAATGCCTCCTTGTTGAGAAATACGTAGGCAATAAGTTCTGTCTTGTTATCACTGAGTCTGCTACATCAATTAACCCTCCCATAATGCCGTGCGAGTTTATCATGATATATGCAGAGGAGCGAACCCCGAACTGGTCAGAGAGAAGTTCTATAAATGAAATAATCATCTTGCGATTTGGGGTAGTTTGTCGGAGGCAAAATATCAATCGATGAGTAAATTAAAATCCATGTGAATATCATTTTAGGAAGCAATGATTTTAGGAAAATAATTAATGAAAATTACAATCATAACATAACAGAATAATTATTTTATTGCAATAGAATTAAAGTAAAAATTCGATTTCAGATAAATCATCGCCTTATACAGAATTATTGTTGCCCAAATGCAAGACCGATACGAGTCTTGGTCTTGGTTTCGCAACAGTCTTGCAGTTACTTATAAGCTTATTACTATAGAGTTATTACTGTAATTTTTTAGATAGGAGAAACCTAACTAAGCCCGAATCAAAAATTAGAGGAGTTAAATGCAAAAGTATATTGGTTATACCAATTATTAACATAGAGTAATCAAGATTGTCAATTATTATTAACTATTTTGCTTTAATTCGCATTTAAAAAATAGATTTTTTTTTATCAGTCCTGGTCTTGGTCTTGCACTTTGTGAAAATGCGCCTAAAGATGTTTTAACTCCAAAAATGTGTTTTGGATTTCCTACTACTTTGCTGAAATTTGGCTCATTGGTGTTACAGGGTAAATTGTAATGAACATGATTGCCATAAAACTTTATTTATAAATATTAAAAAATGATATTTTTCACTGAAAGTGGTTATGGTACTTTTTTTTATAAACGGAACTTAGCTATGTTTGTCCGCCCGATTTTGCTTTTTAAATAGTTTTAACGATGACAAAATCGATTTTCATTTAAAGTAAATTTAGTCTAGTTTACTACGGAGCAGTGTTTAGTTAATTAAATCAAATATTTTTTAAGTTATCGCTTACTATTCAACGAAAAACGTGACTCGCTTAAAAAAGCAGAAATCTTAAATTTCCTAGTTTTAAAGCTTAGTTCAACATATCTTCCAAATATAATTTGATAATATTTTTGACATGTTGAAATTTTTATTAAAATGGTATATATATGGATGAAAATAAAGTTATCTTTGTTAGATGTGTTTAACAAGAACTTTCTTCATAGAAAACTCATATTTTAATTATATGTGATTCTTCGAGCAATGCTCCTGCTGAAATTGGGAAATTGTTTATATGAACTTTTTTGTAGCTCTTGGGATTTGCTAACACTCATATAAATATTTATATAAATAAATATTCTACTTATGGGACACACTGTATAGGATTCATAATTTAAATGACAAGGAATAATTGGTCCTTCAAAGCAAGGTTTCGAAAAAATAAGTACCATATTTTGAAGGTATCTGATGTTCGTGTATCTCCTACATCAATAAATAAATGAATAACACTAGCTAATAGTTTATTCTAATGAGAGCTCATGAAACTAGAATACGAAGGAGGCGAAAACTTGTTAAAATGAAGCCTTGATGTTTTATTAAAGTTGGGTTTTGAAGTTGAGCCAAGTTCACCGAGGCCTTAGAGACAAGCCAGTCGATAGCCGTGGCCATTGTCTAGAGTAACCAAGGCGACCGCTATTAAACAACACCACTCCTAACCTTCTCCTCCTTTGAGCCAACAACGCCATCGGGGTGGATATGATCCTTAATAAACTTCTCCACTAGCCGAGGAGAGACTCCAACACCAAACTGCTCCCAGAACTCGCCACTAAACTGCTAGCCAATATCGAGAGCAGTCTATTAAAACTTAAGTCATGAAAGGAAGGGGGGTGTTGGAGGTTGGCGGTGCTATATCTATGCAAATCCACCGATGGCGATATATCCGACGGAAATTGGCATTTTATGGAAGGATAGGATAGTTTAAGGTTTTACGGCCCCTTTGGCACCACGAAATAGGAGGCAAAAAGGATTTGAGAATATATCACTTGGTGAAGTTATATATTCACATATCATATAAAAGTATGTTATATTACAAAGATAGGCGTCCAATCGATAAGAAAAATAATAAAGATGGCAAAGAGTATAAAATATAATATATTATAAAACTGAATTAAAAATAAGGATTTAAACGGAAAATTCCAAACCGTAAAGCCTTGAGTCTTGTAATATATAGGTACATGGGCGAATCTACGGAAGGGGAGAGGGCTTTGGGGCAGAAGCCCCCTCCCCCAAAATGGCAAAATATAACCATGTTTTATGGAAAAAAATATTAAAAACCTATCACTTAAAGTATACTTCGGTTCGTGTAATAACAAAAAAAGTCCTAAAAGGACACTATTATAGGAGTTAGTTTCTTTCTTTTTTTCCTAAGTAATTATCGTTATTTTTATGAAAAAAAAAAAGCTTAAGGGCTGAAGCCCTCCCCAAAATTACATCCTGGATCCGCTAGTGTATAGGTGAACAGTTAATTACAAGAGATTATACATCTTACCATCCAAATATATACTAAAGGAAAAAGAAGGTTGCATCTATACACTGAAGGAGTATTTATTAACTAATACTTTTTTAAATTTAATCTATTTAATATAATCCAAACTATAAAGCCATAAGTCACCAACATACAGGTGAATCGTTAAATTGCCAACTTCCGCCATTCAGCCATCATCAAGTCAGAAATACGAGATCACATACCGTAAGATGGGTAACCTTTGGGAAAGGGGATAAAATTTAGTTAGTGGTGATTCCGTGGTAGGTAAACTGTGTCGGTTCAGTCTGAGAAACCTAGTTCACTACTCTCGTTGTGCAGTTAGGTTTTATTTACTTCCATTGCTTTTTTCAAAATTATTGTTTTCATGAAACTTTCGCTTGTGCCTTAAGAGTAGTGTGTCGCAGGATAGCAGCGCAGTATATGCACGTTTTTGCAGACTGAACCAACACATTATATCCACCAAGGAATCACCACTAACTAAATTTTACCAGCTGTCCCAAAGTTACCCCATCTTACAGCATATGAAGAAAGAGAAACGAAAAATAAAAACATTTGTGAGGTATGCACGTTTTATACACCTTCCAGCATTGTTTTTTTTGTGTGTGTTTATTAATTTTTGAAGGAAGTTTCTCAACTGTTGAGATGTAGACCTCATAGGTAATAAATAGTAAAGAAGCAGTCATTTTAAAGAATTTTATTGGTGCCGAAGTTTCAACCTGAGCATGTGGGTCAGCATCAGGGTATAAACAATGGCCTACATCTTAGCTTTAAAAAGTAGGAAATCCAAGTTTTGTGTTGCTTTTTTTAAAGTAAGTCATGTTGTTTGTTGAACAGAAAACGATAACTAAAGAAATATTTAATTCAAGTAATTAAAACTTGCTTCGATGTAAACTAGACAAAATTTACCTCCAACGAAAGTGGAGTATGTTAAGGTTAAATACATTTAAAGGGAATTTTTGAACGGCTAAACTAAGCTAAATTATGTTTTTGAAAACGTCATAAATTATTTAGGAATTTTTCAAATCATCATCCAATTATACTACAGATAGTCATTTTTTGAAGAAGTTCCTCATTTAATAAGCTTTAAGTCCATATTTCGTCGTAAACCTATGACTTCCTGTCCTACAGTATCCTTTAATAACACCCCACTTATCTCTGCTGAAAAAATCCGATATCTTGGACTCCACTTGGACAAACGTCTCACTTGGAATCCTCATACAAGACTGAAACCACAAGAAACTGCTCGACGTTTCCGCTTACTCCAACACTTACTAGGCAAACGCTCTAAACTTCCTATATATTACAAAAGACTAATATACATGACTATAATAAGGCCTATTTGGACTTCCAGTGTTGAGCTATGGGGTTCCACTAAACCATCAAATCCCTATCGTATCCAATCCTAACAATCCAAAATCCTTCGTAAAATGCTCAATGCTCCTTACTTTGTCACAAATAAAATAATCCATAATGACCTTAATGTTCCATATGTTTCCGATTTGGCCCAATCCAGATACTTATCCTTCCATAATAAACTTCATAACCATCCGAATCCTCTCGTTTCTAATCTTGCTTCCTCTTCAATTCCTGATAATCCTCCGAGGCGTCTGAAAAGAAGATGGTCCCGTGATCTCTTTATGTAGACATATTATTAGAGTGCTACCTGTGGGTAGTTTCTCAACAAGCGTTTTCAAGTGATTATATTCTTGTGTACACATTTACTTGATGTATTTATATTGTAATACAGTTGTAAATATTTCGAATAAATTGTTTTTAAAAAAAGGTCCATATTAATTAAGTTGAGGTTTACTAGTCAAAAACTTGATATTCATCTGAAGTTGTGCAAAACAAATTGTGTGAATTTTCATTCTGTCACCTGGAAGTACCCGTGGTTTTCAGTAAAAATGGCTTTACTTAACTGTTGCAAAACTATTATTATTTTTTTTTTCCATGATCTGAGATGTATTATAACAAACATAATTTTCTAAATACAAGTTTTATTTATATATGTAAAAAAAAACAAAAAAAAAAAAAACATATTTTTTATGTAAAATGGTTATACGACTGTGTTTGAAGCTCTTGAAGTCTGACAACATTCTTATAAATATCTTCCTGTACTTAAGGAACAACCTGTATAGTGTAGATTTTTAACTTCATTTGAAAGTCAAGTATAAAAATTAAACACTCCAGGAAAAATAATATTCTTCATAATAAATTCAAAATATTAGAAAATGTAAGTTATAAGATTCAGGATTGCAAAGTCTAAGGAGATTTATGAATCTTTCCAAGAATATAGTAGCTTTAAATAAAAGAAACAATAAACGCTTTAATGAGCTCCTTAAATAATAAAACTTTTATAGGTTTTTGAAAAACAAAACTGTTAAGAGAGTTTTAATGCTGCTTTTAATTCGCAAACGGAATGTTTTCATCCCTGCTTGTAAGTTTCCCAGTGAAATAGGGCTTTCATAATTATATACGACCGTGGAGCCCCCTGGTGATTACTATGCTAAGCGAGAGGGGTCTGTTTCAGTCCAGGAAATTAAACCAGTATCAGGGCGGCATGTTCCATTCTCCCTTATCGGTACTCCTTGCTTTCTTATCATAGCTCACTCCGCCTCCGTTCGGAAATTAGTTTGAATTATTTTTATGAAATATGTCCTTTAATCTGTTTTTAAAAAGCTCTCAGAGTATAATGTCAACTGGGTTATTTAAGCGGGGCAGTATTAAATAGATTCAAAATTAAATGCAACGTACACAACAACTGGCAAAATCTCGTCTTGGTCATGCTTTCATTTGGGTAACCGTAACATACAATTAAAAAAATCTGGTGCGTGCAACACACAACTTTCACTTACCGATATACTTTAAATAAAAATTATTTTCTGGCAATGCTGAGCTATTATAAAATTTTTTAAAGTGGATTTTAAACGAAGCTAAAGCTTAAAGATAACAAGTCATTAAGATCATTATAATTACAAAATGTCTATTTAATATATCGACGACAGGCAATAAAAATCTAGTCACTCCATCTGCTTTTATAAACCACACAACTGTCTTTGCTTTTATAACCACGGAATGACGAACTCCAATTTCAACATTTTTGCAGATGCCATTTTAGTGATATTTTTAGTTGAAAAAGTTATCTATACAGACAGTGAGTAAGTTGATTCCAGAGGTGGTGATTGCAGTGTTGAAATATAGAACTGAGAATAAAGGTATAAATTTAGGTACTTATTTCATATGAAAGATGTTCTTAGGAAAGATTCTTTATTAAATATCTATAGAAAAGAGGATTTTTAGTCTCAACAATTAAAATTTTTTTCGCATCTTCAGGGAAAAAAAACTAGAGACCATATCTTTCCTCCTAATTGTTCAATTTTAACGTTTTTTTTTTTTTTTTTTGGAAATTCCATAAACTTTTAAAAAACCATATTCAATATTGACAAAAATGTGTATACTTTTTGAGTTATTCGGAATTTAATTTTAACATCCCTCGTAATTTTTTCCCGGCTTCTTTTCGTTGAAGTATGTTATATAGATAAATTTAAAGGGTATCCAGAAAATGACTTTAGCGAAGTTTCATTGAAATCGGTACATTCGTTTAGGCGCTACAGTATACCTTAACATAATTACCTTTTGTATTTTTTTTTTGTTAGCTTTATGCTGATTTCGTATTTTTTAAAACGTTTGGGAAATATTTTCTATACAACGGATACGTGACAAATCTAACAAGCAATGAAATAATTTAAATCTAAAAAAAATAACAATAAATAAATAACATACTGTTTCATCTCAATCCTTAAAGGCCTCCAGTAACCTAGAAAAGTAAAAAATTGATTAAATGAATAGACAAATATATAGGTTTTTTTTTTAAATTGAAATAAATTAGAAAAAAAAATAAATTCTGTACTTTTTCCTTGTATTTTGAATTCTCTAACATAGTCGAAATTTCGTCTCATCCGGAGAAACAACGGCGCTACTTAAAAATTTTGGAAAAATATTTTATTAATTGTCGGAAGGACATCGAAGTGGTATCGTAGTATAATATACGTAAAATTTGAATGGATGGAATAATTTTACCCAGATACAAACAATTTTAAAAATTATGTCATTCTTAAATGTCTATTTCCTTGTAGAGGAACTCGTAATACTCTAATATATTTCTACATTAAATTATGAGACCATGTTGTTTTCAAACGCCTCGGAAAGTTATTAGGAATCGAAGAGGAAGCAAGGTTGGAGACGATGAGATTGGGATGTTTCTGAAGTTTACAATGGAAGTATAAGTATTTGAATTGGGCCAAATCGGAAACATACAGAACATTAAGGTCGTTATGGATGATTTTATTTGTGACAAAGTAGGGAGCATTGAGAATTTTACGAAGGATTTTGGATAGTAGGGATTGGATACGAAAGGAATTCGATGGTTTAGCAGAGCCCCAATGCTCGATCCCGTTAAGTCCAAATAAGCCTTATTATAGTAATATATATGAGTCTTTTGTAAGTAGTTGGAAGTTTAGTGCGTTCGTCTAGTAAGTGCTGCAGTAGTCGAAAACGTCGGGCGGTTTCTAATCGTTTCAGTCTGGTACGGGGGTTCCAAGTTAGAAAACATACTCTAAAAATATTCCAAGAACCATGAGGGACCCTTCCTATTCCGCTAATCATTATTTCGGTAACAGTTCCCGGCAAGACAGAGCTAAGCAGATAAACATACGAGGAGAAAAGATAGAAACTAAAAATATAGGAAATAGAGGTCAGAAGGTCCTGAAATATTATTATTACGGTTTTTAGAGGAGGATGTCAGGTATCCGGTACACTGTCAGCTATTGGTGTTTTTACCCTATTATTATTGTTGTCACGTATAAATATGAGGATTTTGTAATTAATTGGGAACTTTTTAAAAAAAAATTAAAAATCGTTTCGAGAAATCCGCACTCAAGGAATACTATACATCTTTGTATTTCTTGTACTGGATATGTATCGGTATAAAATAGAGCCTATAAAGTTCTAGAGGAGACGCGGGCGAACAAGAGGCGGAGGTCGCATTGTGCCAACGGTGGACATTGTTGTTGAGCATTGTCGCCCCTCTTTCTGTTTCTCTCATTAGGAGGACTACAATGGAGCAACAACACTCCAACAATGCCGATCCCCCTACCAACACTCCAACGCTGCGCCTCGTCCCTCGTTTAATGCAAAAACTTCTCTGTCGTCCTCCTTCCTAAGTGATTGTCCTTTAATGTCTCCTTCCTGACTGATCAGAGGAGGATATGGCTCAAGATAATGTGTGTTTGGCGTGACTGTGGCGCTGGGCTTCATTTGCGGAATGAAACTCTTGACGAATTTCGTTCTCGTTTAATTATCGAAAATGTTTTTTTTATGGTGATGGTGGAATGAATTAGCTCCATAAATGGCCTCCTAGATTAACAAAAATATTTAATAACACATCTTTTTTTTAGAATGAAAAATTCTTCAGGCGCATTATGCACTTTTTTTGTTGAGTGAATTGGATTAAGCCGTCAGATCTGCTCGGGGTAATGCTCGAGTGAAGTCGGTTAGATTCGACTAATTCAAGTATTTTTGGTTTATTATTTTCAATAATGAACCATTGTGATCGACCAAAAAATTCATTAACTTAACCCCCTCTCAAAATTTGAGGTTTAACGTTTCAAGATAGGCAGAATTCGAAAAACGAATAACAATTATTTTGTCCGTCCTACGTCCGCGGTTTTTATCCGAAACTACTCGACGGATTTTTTTCAAATTTGGATATAAAATCAGAAGTCACATAAGGATGATCCTCCTTCATCGACTATCCGCCTTTTACTTTAAAAAACGTTTGAAGAACCTGCGTTGCTATAGACTGTAGCGACTAAACGAATGTACCGATTTCAATGAAACTTCGCCAAAATCATTTTCTCCACGCCCTTTAAATTTATCTATATAACATACTTCAACGAAGAGAAGCTGGAAAAAAAGTTACGAGGGATGGTAAAATTAAATTCCGCATAACTCAAAAATATAGACTTTTTTTTAAAAGTTTACGGAATTTACTTAAAAAAAAAAAAAAAATCGTTAAAACCGGACAATATGTAGCAAATATATGGTCTCTAGTTTTTTTTAATATGTTCTACCGCAAATGTTATATCCTTTGTTTTGGTTTTTAAATTTTGAATGTGTTACTGAAGTAATGCTTTTTTTTTTTTAGCTTATTACTAATGATTGTTTGGAAATAATAAACCATTGTGAAATAATTTGCACAGTTTTTGGATATGGATTAAAATATCTCAAAAACTAAAAAATCGGACATGAATATTGTAAGCAAGGGTTCATCGTTTCATCCTATTTGTTCATTTTTCATCCTCTATTACTCAAAATTGTATCGTGACGCGACGCCGTGTTAGGGAGAGGAAAAGAAGAAATAGTGTCGAAAATCAAATGATCTTATTCCCAGAATTCTTTCTCCCTTATTATGGTTACAAATTTCCAATAATAATAATAATTATATAATAATATAAATTGACAGTAAAGCGAGAAGTATAAGAGAGATTTTCAAAGAAATAAAAAAAAAAATTATAAACTGAGGTTTTGTTCCGTTTATTTTATGTTGATAAAATCCGAACTACAGAATACACGTAAATTATAGTTATATAATTTGTAAAATGGGGATTACAAATAAAAAAGTTTAGAGGGTACTTCACTAGTAATATATAAGATAATGTAAACCGTATAAATAATATATTACCTCTATATTTGACCTATTATGACATACGTACTTAATCACAACAAATTAGTAACAATTTATTCTAATATTCCCCGAGATAATGATGGGGTGAAGGTTATATTCGACATAATCAATTACTAAAGGGGATAATAGGAGAGGAACACAATCCTCAAACATGAAGATAACACCTCTCGGGTCCTGTAACGATGTAATGACGGTATAATTAATCTATTATAGAATGTAACAGCTAACTTAGTAATAGGTTAATTACACAAATTGACCAGTCCGCTTCAATAACCGGTTAATTTAATTATAATAATCATTTGTGAAACATACAAGGGTGAAAACAACCTGAAACAGGAGAGCCCTTTGAAATAAACGCGTTTAAAAAAAAACAAAAACGTTAAAAAAGCGTTAAATAAGAGATAATATGAGTATTTTAACTCGATGATAAAATAAAAGAATAATCACATTACAGAGGGAGGAAAAGAACTGTTTAAAAGTTGCGACAAAAGTGAGAGGGAGAAACGTTAATGATATTAAACGTTTCTTTTTCATACGTGTTTTTCACATTGTGCTTTTTTTTTTTTTCTTTTACCCCCTTTTCCTCCTTTTTTTCCGGCAGTTTTAACAATTAACTTTATCAAAGGGGGAAATACCGACAGCTTTTCTCTTTTGTTTTCACAACCAATGTTATGCGCTTTTATTAAAATATTCATCCCTTTTTTTTTTGCTTACAGTTTATCTTAAGGAAAAAAGGATTCTGTCAAAAGTTTGTATACGTTTTTATTTAAAAAAAAAAATATATTCATAGTGAAAAACACTCATACACGATTTAAACCTTTTATTACGTATTATTATATAACAAATTGTTTTCTGGAAAAATTATTGAATTAATAATTAACAAATAGCCTATCTTTAATCACATTGATAAATTCTTTATAAAAAAAAACCTTTATCAAGTTATTTCACATAATCTTTTTCAAATATATCATTTTTATATACAGTTTAACACCTGATTTTTTTTTTCAATTTTGATATAATTAAAAAATAAGCAAATTAGTTTTTAAAAAAATTCCACAAAAGTGTAATCGAAAGGAGATTTGCTTTAAAAGAAAAAAAAATAGTGTTACCCAAATGCGAGACCAATATGAGTATTGGTATTGCAAACTCAGTCTTGGACATGGTCTTGATCTTTCGGAAGAGTCTCGCAGCAGTCTTACAATTACTTATTAGCTTATTACTACAGAGATATTAGTTTAATTTTTTAGATAGAAGAAATCTAACTAAGCCCAAATGAAAAATTAGAGGAGTTAAATGCAAAAGTATAATGGTTATACCAATTATTATCATATAGTAACTAAAATTGTCGAGTATTAATAACTATTTTGCCTTAATTTTTATTTAAAAAATCGATCTTTTTTTATTAGACTTGGTCTTGGTCTTGCAACAGCTAGGAGCCCTGCAAGACCAAGACTGATTTCGGACAACATTACAAAAAATGAAGTATTTTTTTCTAAAAAATAAGAAAAAAAATATTATTTTTATATATTAAGGTGGTAAACAGTATAATAATTACTTTGGAAGAAAAATATACAATGCTTCCCTACCTTCGGTAGTGTGGAAGCAAAAAACTAACTAACTATATGAACTGGGGTTTAAGTGACTCTTGAAGTCCTATAGAACACCTACAAAAATACTTTTTGAGATAATTTTTAAATATTTTTTTCATAAGACATGGTAATGTTTTACCATTTGGGGTGAGGGGAGAGATTGGCTTGAGCTTGAAAGCACTCTCCGTAGATGCGCCTGTGTATAAATGTGATCTGTTTGAAAATTATAAAGATAACACCAAAATGTTATAAATAAATAAATATTTGATATAATATAATAAAAGTTTTTTTTATTGAAGCTTTCTCAATTTTTTTTTTTTTTTTTTTTTTTTTTTAGTTTCAGACATTGATAGATATCTTGTATATATCTTTTATAATATTATATATATCCTAATCTCACATTAAAGTTCTCATAACCTTTACTATTTTATCGATACCTTATTATTATTTTGTTGTTTTTATTATTCTTATTAAATGTTATTCTTGTAGTCGTAAATATTCTTTTTGTTTTCTTATTCTTTCTTTGTTCTCATCTTATTCGTATTTTCAACACGTGAATATTTAAAATTGTACCTTATTATTATTATTTTTTGTTTATTATTCTTATTAAATATTATTCTTGTAGTCGTAATTATTCTTTTTGTATCCTTATCTCACATTATAGTTCTCATATCATTTACTATTTTAGCTATACTTTATTCTTATTACTTTTTTTTATTATTCTTATTAAATATTATTCTTGTAGTCGTTACTTATTCTTTTTGTTTTCTTATTCTTTCTTTATTCTCATCATATCCGTTCTTTCGACTGTACTACACGTGAATATTTATAATTGTACCTTATTCTTATTATTTTTTGTTTATTATTCTTATTAAATATTACTGTTGTAGACGTATTTAATTCTTTTTGTTTTCTTATTATTTGTTTGTTCTCATCTTATTCGTATTTTCGACTGTACTACACCTGAATATTTAAAACTGTAAAAAAAAAAAAAAAAAAAAAACTATAAGCTTTTGTAATTTTAATATATTATTAATGTTATTCAAACCCAAACTAGAATACCGACTTGAGAAACTTGTTTTGTAGTACTAAACGAATATTTTTTTAACCTACTTTTTTTTTGGGGGGGGGGGAAGGAGGGAGGTACAAAGCGAACAAGACAAATATGATTTTATAGAAGACTAAGAGACATTATTTTCGATAAAAAGGATTGACACCTCCATTATCCGGCTAAGTGCTGCCCCAAAAGGGCCGACAATTCTGTTATTAATGATATCCAAACTCCAGCAAATATTGTCCCAGTAAAGCGATAACCTTTTTAGTCGACTTCCTCACGACATGTTTGCCGGCCTCGTTTAGTAGAATATTATATTACGCCGAAACGGGAGATGAAAGTTATTATTGAGACTGAGGTGTAAAAACCCTGAAAAAAAACCTGGCTATCAGTAGTAGTTTAGTAATTAAATAAATAAATTATCATATCACGGATATTAATAAAAAATAGAACACAGAAGCTTTGTCTGGACTAGATTTCTGCATTTCTGATAACTAATTCAAACGAAACCTTTTGAGGGATATCGAAATCCAACTTACGAATAAAGAGAAATTATTGCTATATGATAATAGGATTATGATATGTTGAGAAGAAATATAATTTAACGCCGTAGCTTTTCCTAAAAACTACTGGGCCAAATATTTGGAAATTTTATATCCTTTGGATCCAAGTCAGAAACCTGAGGGTGATCCTCTCCAAACTCTACATTATCACACGCCCTTTCGTTTCAAAATGGCGGCCGAAAAACAATTGCCGCTATAAACTGTAACGTAAAAACGGTTGTAATAAAACTTGCCTGAAGTTTCCTCCTGGAAGTACTTTAAATTTATGTATGCAACTAACTCCCCCGAAAAGAACGTGGAAAAAAGTTGTGACTAATACATGATTTTATTCCCGAATTACTCCAAAAGTACACACATTTTATCAA